GGAATACTTGCTGAGGAACTTCCGTCAACGACGGCAATCTCAAAAAAGGGCCGAGGTGCGACATGAGCTGTCTTTTTTTGCGATCCCCCGCTCCCCCTGTATATCGTCTAGCGCTGCGATCCATTCATTGGGCAAAATACGCATTCAAGTGATTCAAGAATCTAAACGAATCTGGAACACGCGGCACCTCTCAGAACGGGCTCACTGTCCAATGTTAGATCCTTAGTTTTTAATGGCTTTAAACTCTTTTCCATAATGGTTTCTAAACAACCTAATTATAATTCTGAACTAGTCCAGAAATTGTAGAGCTCAATGGGAAAAAGCGCAACACTAAATTAGATTTAAGTATAATCAGCGACCTGCTAACTTCTTTGATACAATTAGGGACTTGCTGTTTTTGGTGCCCCTACAGAAAATGCGCTGCGGAAGAGACTAATGAACCTAACTCTGCAAAATGTGGATGTCGCCCTCTAATGAGTTCGAGTCAGATGTTTCTAAATCACCAACGAACTCGAACGATCTATGCAAAAAAGGAGCGGCTTCAGAGCGAAGAAAACCAGTGAGTTTGTCGTAGTACGAAAGCATGTAAATGAACTGTGATCAGGCGAAGCTTGTGTTCGTGTGGAGTGGGAGAGCTACTTTGCAGTGACGAACGCGTTGACCTTAAGGATTAGTCAGAACTTGCTGTCAATACGCCCACTAAGTAGTATTACGAGTACAATGGCAATTTTCCATGAGACGACCACGTGGCAGCTAAGTGTTTTCCTTGCTTCGGGAACGCTAACTTTGAGCATTGATCCGTTTTTTTTTGTTTCTCAAAATCTGGAAGAAAACATAAGTTACACTCATATACTGTCTGACGATAGAGCTCCATCATCATTTTGCTCCGTCTGTTGACTGAAAAGGCAAGCCAAACTGCGCTTGAGTTCTGTTCGCTTGAGTTCTGGCGAGATCGCGTTGTGCTTGAGGAGCAGCTCCATTCCCCTGACGTCGGTTCGTTGCCACCAGGGCGTGCCTCAATCGAGGAGTTCTCGATAAGGGTCGTATCTGCCCTGATGGGAGGAGGGGTTAATAAATGACATCTTTTAGGAGACAGGATAGTGAAATGTTAGAATTGGATGTTAGGAGCGTGGCGCACTGTGGCTTTACAATAACAAATGTATATCCCCTCCTGGGCGGAAGTGGTGTAGTGGCAAGTGGCACGCTTACCACGCGAGCGGTCCAGGGATCAAATCCTGGGTCGTGAGTCGCCCAACCAAGCCTTCCATCCCTCCGGGGTCGGTTAATTGGTACCAGCCTGACTGTCTGGGAGGATAAAAACACTGATCTGTACACAGAGTCAACCCTGCGTTGCGCAGTTTTCAACGGCCACGTTGCGCAGTTTCGCCCGATTAGACACGTTCTCTCGCGCGAACATTCACACTCGCATGCTCGAGCCGTCTGCGTCTCCGCCCATACAGCGTGCGTTGAGGATCTCTCAACGTGCCGTTGCGAACTGCGCAACGCAGGGTTGACTCTGACTTGTACATCGGCTGGCCCCCGCAAGTCATTGTATAGGCCACATCGCATTCAAACGCCACTACGAATGTACAAATGGAAGTAGAATGCGTGCCGCATCCCAAAAAGGGATTGATCAACGGCAAATGCTTTATCCTTTTATCCTTTCCTCTCGCTCGGAGCAAGTTCAACTCAGCACCCTTTCAACTTCGATAAACAAGCTGTCATCACTATTATCGGAGGACACATCGGAGGAAAGGGGGACACGAGAGGGATGGGGGGGGATTCGTAGGGATTCGTAGGGAAAGCAAGAGTGAGTTGCATTGACCGAAAATTCCTCTTCACGTGACTAACCCAGCTGGCATGCTAATTTGAAGAAAATTCGTCAGTATCGCAATCCAAATGAGTGAATTGCTTTCGAAAGCTACAGAAATGCCACAAAAATACAGAAACAAGACAGCTACGAAAATGTGAAATGATATATTTTCGAAATCATTGGAAGCTTGGCTGTACCATAGAGAACACTCTTTCGCAGCTCATACCATAGACAAAATAGAAGCACTCCTTGAGCCGGCTTGAAAGTGAGTAAGGAGTCGTATTTTTGTATCTGTGATTTTTGAAATGAGACTGGACCTATTTGATGAAGTATGTTCTATTTTTGAAGCATTGTACTAGTTGTGAAATACGTCGTAAGGAGGAAACTTTAGCAGCACCAGCTGTAGGGCTCCAGGATGGAGTAAGGGCGCAGGGGAGGAGGATTCTCGAGTGTCTTCCAATAAATGGTATTAGATAATGATTAGCAGACAAACGCCATAGCAGGGTGGACAAGGTAGAGAATAGAAGAAAAGCAAGTCACTGCAAACCCACTAGGGGCTTTCGCGTTTTTTGGACGGTGATAGAGGCTGGAATCTGTAAGAGAAAGGGTCCGGTAGTAAAAACGCGTCCCTTCATTTCCACTACCCACCTGGTTGTTGGCGCTCATCACTCCCTCCTTCGCTGTCGCGCAGTAGATAAGACTGAAAGCATCTCAGTTTACTATTACTCAATGAAAGACTGATTTTATTTCGAAAAGTCATCAAATTGGAAATTAAGTCTGAGGATGTCAGTGATAAAAGATGAAAAACCGAGAAAATAGCCTAGAACCCGAGAAATGGGATCCCTTCCTTGCCCATTGATTTGCGCATTGATGCGACTCTCATCGGTGCTGCCCTCTTCAACGCTAACGCTCTCTCTGCTAAACGGCTAGAGACTCAGACACGAGACGACGCGAGAGGGGGCGTACCGCGTCAAGAGCGAGAAAGGCCAAGTGATCAGATCGTCAAGCGTATATACTTCAGTGCGAATTGCGTGTCAGTCCGTATCCTAAGTGGGACTGCGCCTTGACGCTAAGTGAGTTTTCCTTTCTTCGACATTCGTCCTTATCGTGGAACACTCCTTCAATAGATCTTGCTCATCCGCAAGAGAAGAGGAGAAGGAGTAAAAAGGAACAAGTGAGGAGATCGAAATTCAAAAAAAAATCGTCTTAGGCATTTTCTCTCGTCAGGAGTCGTTCTCACGATCCTTTTTTGTATTATATAATGGATTACACGCTGCTTTGAGCTAAGCTCAAATCCAGTAGTCTGAACTGGCATTTCATCCCTTCAACAACAATAGAAAGCAAGGCTCAAAGTGCAGATTATTAGGCAACAATGCGATGCACCACGCACTTGACCATTTAAAGGACGAATTCACGATGAAAAAGCAACCCATTTCAAATTAACCTAGGGATGGTGAGTGGTACACGAAAGAAGGAAGAACCATGAGAAACGGCCCAGAACCCGAGAAATGGACCCCTTCCTTGCCCGTTGATTTGAGCATTGATGCGACTCTCATCGCTGTGCCCTCTTCAACACTACGCTCTCTCAGCTATCTAATCACTCGCCACGTATTGAACTACGGCGAGTGATCAGATGATCGGTGGGCGGAGATCGCCGGACCCGCCAGCTTTGAGGCATGATAGGTCGCCGAGGTCAAATTTTTCCATGCGAATTGCGCGTCAGTTCGCACCCTCAGGAGGTCCGTGGGTCCCTCAACTAGGTCAGTTTCCCTTTCTTCGACCTTCATTCTAATCGTGAATTCCTCCTTTAACAATCGAACAGTCAGCTGTTCCTGAGGCGAACTATT